TTTGAATGTTGTATTTGGTGGGAAAGTTCTTCTCAGAGGGGATTTTCAACAATTTCTCAGTGTTGTGCCACATGCTATGTGATCAGCCACAGTACAAACGAGTTTAAAGTACTGTAGTGTTTGGGGATGTTTCAGAAAGTTGTCTCTTAAATATGAGATCAGAGGATTCTGCTTATAGAGAATGGTTAGTAAAATTTGGAGATGGCAAACTTGATAGCAGTTTTCATTTAGGAATGGATATTATTGAAATCCCCTGTGAAATGACTTCGAGTGGATTTATTATTGAAGCTACCTTTGGAAATACTATATCTATAGATAATATTAAAAATATATCTAAACATGCAATTCTTTGTCCAAAAAAATAAGCACATTCAAAAATTAAATGAAGACATTTTGGATATACTCAATGGAGATTTTCAAACATATTTGAGTGATGATTCCATCGATTCAACAGATAATGCCAAAAAGGAAAATTTTCCCATCGAATTTCTTAATAGTATTATTCCTTCAGGAATGCTGTGTCATAAATTAAAATTGAAAGTGGCTGCACTCATCATCTACTGAGAAATCTTAATAGTAAATGGGGTCTTTGTAATGGTACTAGACTTGTTAACAAAGATTGCGACCTAACATAATTGAAGCTGAAGTATTAACAGGATCTGCAGAAGGAGAGGTTGCTCTGATTCCAAGAACTGGTTTGTCCCCATCTGACACTGGCCTCCCATTTAAGTTAATTTGAAGACAGTTTCCCGTGATGACATTTGTGATGACTATTAATAAATCACAAGGACAAACTCTAGACAGAATAGGAATATTCCTACCTGAATCCATTTTCGGATATGGTACTTGTCTTGTGGATAACAGTCATTCTAAGAGATGTGAGGTCGTGTCTTATTGTAGTTTTGATTTGCATTTCTGAACAGCAACTGAAGTTGATAATCTTTTCAAATATATTTTGGCTATGTGTGTATCTATTTGGAAGAAGTGTCTGATCAGGTTCTCTGCCCATTTTTTTTATTGAATTGTTTGTTGTTGTTTTTGAGTTGTGTGAGTATATATTTTGGATATTAACTCCTTGGAGTTGTTTGCAAAAACCTTCTCCCACTTGGTTGGTTGTCCTTTTGTTTTGTTGATATTTATTTATTTATTTATTTTACTATGCAGAAACTTTTCAGTTTGATATAGTCCTACTCATTTATTTTTGCTTTTACTTCCCTTGCCTTTAAAGTCAAATTTATAAAATACTCTCTAAGACCAAGGGCATAAGTTTAGTACCTATGTTTTCTTCTTTGTAATTTATTGTTGAAGTTCTTATATTAGGACTTTGGCCATTTTGAAGTAATTTTTGTGTATGGTGACAAGTCTAGTTTCATTCTTTTGCATGTGACTTTCCAATTTTCCCAGTATCATTTATTGAAGAGGCTTTTATTTTTTTATTATGTGTTTTTTTTGGCTCCTTTGCAAAAAGTATTTGCTCATGTCCATGTGGATTTATTTCTGTGCTTTCAATTCTGTTCCATTGGTCTTTGTGTCTGTTTTTCTTCCAATACCATGACGTTTTGATTATTGTCACTTTGTAGTGTAATTTGAAGTCAGGGAATGTGTGGTACCTCCAGTTTGTTCTTTTTTTCTCCAGTTATGTGGGGTTTTTGTGGTTTTTATACAAATCTGATGATTTTTTTTGTTCTATTTCTTTAAAAAATACCTTGAGCTTTTGATGGTGGTTTCATTAAATCTGTATATGGCTTTGGGTATGGCCATTATAACTATGCTGATTCTTTCAGTCCATGAACATGGAATGTCTTTCTATTTCCTTATGTCTTCTTCAATTTCTTGTAATAATGTCTTGTATTTCTCGGTGTATAGGTCCTTTACATTATCCATAGTTATCTAATTATTTTCATTGCCATTGAAAAAAATTGAGAATATTGTGCTAAGCAAAATAAGTCCAATGGTAAAAAGTCAAGAACCATATATTTTCACTCATATGTGGGAAATAAAACTGAAAGCAACAAATGAACAAATAAACAAACAAAAACTCATAGACAGACAACAGTATATTAGTTACTAGAGGGGGGAGTTAATAAAGTATAAAGGGGGTTAAATATATGGTGACAGAGGAGATTTAACTTTGGGTAATAGGCACACAATACAGATGATATGTTGTAGAATTGTATACTTTAAAGATATATAATTTCATTATTCAATGTCACCCTAATGAATTTAATAAAAATAAATCTAATTACATTTTGTCTAGCCTCATTTATTTAAGGCAAAGCAAATCCCCATTCTTGTATTGGTATTTTTAATTTATAAGCATTTTTTTTTGTCTATAGAGTAGAAGGGAAAAGTGAGTAAACATATATAGCTCTTCATGATAGAGCTCTATCATGCTGCCTATGTAATTTAATCTCCAACCAAACCCTATAATTTCACATTCTAATAATTCATTGAATTACATAGCCCTTTGTAGCAGTGAAATATAAAGGCCAAGAAAAGAGCTTTTAGAATTAGACTAATAAGGTTAACATTACAGTTTCCCGATGACATCTCTGCAGAACACATGTGTACATAACTTTACTTTCATTAATATTTTTCTGCACCTAAACAGTTTGTATAAAACCACAAAAGACCCCACATAACCAGTGATAATAATACCAATTTCCCAGGATTTTTTGTGTTTAGTACTCTAATGTAATATTTTTCTAATTTATATATTTAGTTCTTCTGAAATCAAATAATTGTTTTAATTTTTCCTCATTTATAATTAAAAGTAAAAACAGATATTAATATTGTATCATAATTGAGTAATTTATAAAATAACAAATTAAGGACATATATACATTGTGGGTGGAAAAACAGATATATCCTCATATATAGAAGAGATTAAAAATAAAA